ATGATCTTTAATATCTTGGAAAATTACATTGGGAAATGGTATTTATATTTGTTCCAGATTACATTTTATGTTTTAGTACATTATTTTGCAATCCCAAAAAATTTGTATCGTCCATAAAATGCAAATTTTATCTATTTTTTAATAATCATGTACATTCATTATGGTTTCAAGTAATATATAAGACCCAAAAATAATATTTGTAAATAAACCTAAACAATAAATGAATATTTTTATTTTTAACTAAGATTTCATGTTTATATATGCACATAAAAACATTTTAATTTTCTTTCATAAATATATTTTTATTTCAAGTTTATGTTTCATTGCAGCCGTACTTTTGTTTATTGTGAACTTTGTACGTTTTCCGTAAACTATCTCACCCCTGTTGGGGGTCATTCTCGTTCAGCCCAGTGCAGGCGCATTTGAACATTACTGTAGATATGATAGTAAGAAAGCTTTTCGGTACTTGAATATCATTTCTTTGAACTTTCAAACAAGTTTATTTCAACATATGTTCATGTATGTTGTTTCACTATGGAGACAAAACTAATTGCCACTACTAGCAAATGTATGTAACAGTTTATAGTACAAGTGGTTTCAATAAACACTGCCTGAGCCTGACCTCTTGTTACTTGATACATCCTGTTAGAAGAGATTACCAAATGATACAGACACCATAAATTACAAAGAAAATTACTTTACAGCACGTAAAAGATTAGTCCTGGTCACATTCCTCTCATTATAGGTAAGATTTATGTTGGAATTCAAAACTTTAGCTCTTCAGTGTATTGAGACCCCAAATGTGAGAATGTCATAGCTTCCCTGTATTATTGAGATGAATGTATTTAGCCTGTTTCACAACCAACATATGGTTTTTTTGTTGTCACTTGTACACTGAGTTTTAACCATTTGCAAAATGTCAGAATAAACTATATATATCATTTAGACTGTTTTAATTCTAACGCAATAACAACAGAAGTGTGGGTCTTACTACAAAGCAAAGATTGTAAGAAGGAAAAATATAAAATTCTTATGTGGTTAAAGCAAAGATTGTAAGAAGGAAAAATATAAAATTCTTATGTGGTACTGGTACTAGTAGTATTACGTACAAATCAGACTAGTTTATCATTCTAAATACTGAATCATATTATTATTATTATTATTATGAACTAAATATAAAATTATGCTAAATTATTGAACTTAAAACTACAAATTTAAATTCAAAAGAATATAAAAATCACAAACTCTTTCAGTTCAAA